GTCGAGACGTTGGTCGAGATATGAAAGTTGGGCTTCTCCGGGTTCGAGTAGCCGTGAAAGTGGTCCAGATGCAGACCGTTCTTGACGACATCGACCACGTCGCTCTTGCTGTGGCCCGCCAAGACGTGCGCGAGCTTGAGCGTCTCGAGGTCGAGGAGCTCGCTGTACTTGGCGTAGAAGGCCGCGTACTCGGGACAGATGGCCGCCACGGACGCCGGCACGCCGTCCTGGACGCTCGTGCTGAGCGTCTCCTTGACCGTGTCGTCGACGAGCGTCTTCTGGAGCTTCTCGGGAAAGTCGGCCGTGTTGGCGATGCAGTTGGCCGCGGCTTCCATGTAGGCGGAGCGCACCTTGTCAAAGTCGGGGATGTTCTTGAGGTTGACGATGCCGTTGGTCTTGAGCGCGTCGACGAGCGCGTTGGCGTCGGCGTCCGAGAGGTTGTCGAGGTCGAACGCCGGGATCGTGTACGCCGGGTAGTCGAAGATGCTCGCCGCCATGGCAGACGCGAGGAACGACAGGATTGCGAGCTTGGCGGTGACCATGACTGAGGGTTGTCGACAGTAAATCGGAGAATGTGAGTGCGCTGCGATGAAGAGGAGGGAGCCTATATTGGAACCAATGAGTGGGCAACGGCGAGCGCACCCATCACCTGAAGTGCCCGACAAGATTTGCCTTTCGGATTCCCAACAACAGCAACGTCAGGTGCATAAAATGTACTTGATGATATCCGATGATCCAGTTGCTCGCAACAATTGCTCGAGCTTTTGCGGGTCGAGCTAATAAGTATGGGCACACTTCACGTCAAGCAGGGTTTACAATCTACCACTCGAGCTGAACCCTACTGAGTGCTCTGACAGAGATCAATAATCGCTGCAGACACCAATGTCTTGCAGACCATGTTAGATGTAAAAATGACTCCGTTGTGTATGTGCTGTCAATAATTGCTGTGCGACGGGCTTCCCGTGCATACAGAGTGGTGGCATTAGATCTGAGCTGAGTAAATGGGAATGCCGTCACAACTGTGCCATTGACGCAGCTGCTCATTGAACAATGCATCGACGGGGCTCTGGTGAGCGTGACGTTGAGGAGGTTCTACGAAATTGTTCCCAATCGTATTCCTCGGCCAGACAAGCGTATCTTACATTTTAAATGCGCCCATGTGAGAAAGGCGTGACAATGTTGGTGTTGATACAGTATAAGTGGTGCATGGTTTGTGTTTGGTTCCTCCTGAAAAAGACAGGGCTCAACCTTAAAGTGAAAAGAGATTTAGTTTATATAAATTTATCTGATAGACACCTAGTTCTTCTTGCGGAGCGTGATCCAGAGGGCCACAATGCCAATGAACCGGAAGAGGAGGTTGATCCAGACCAAAAAGATAATGTCGTAGCCCATGCTCTTCTTGTCAAGGCCAAGGTTCGCGAGCACTTGGGCCCCCGTCGTCGCGACGCAGCTCTCGACGGCTGTGTCGCAAGGAATCGTGTCGATCGAGTTCCAGAAGGCGCGCGAGATACCGCGGAAGGCGTACTTCATCGGCGAGATAAACTCGAGCCAGCGAAAGTAGACGGGCACGTTGTTGGTGTTGATGAAGAGGCCGCCAAAGATGAGGAACGGGAGGATGATGAGGATGCCAATGATCGGTGCGATCTCGGGCGTCTTGGCAATGCACGACACCATGTAGCCGAGGCCGGTCGCCGAGCTCGAGAGGAGCGCGATGAAGAGGTAGAACGTGAAGAAGAGACCGGCGTTGGACGCGCCAAAGCCAACCATGAAGTACACCGGGATCAAAAAGATGAGCGGAAAGAAGAACTGCATCACGAGCTCGCTCACGTTCTTGGCAATGTACCAGACGTACGACCGGTAGAGGCCGCCGTTGTACTCGCGCTTCATGATGGGCAGTTCGAGCGGAACGGACGCAAACTCGGGCGTCGTCGCACTGAAAAACTGGTTGACGACGATGAAGAAGATGGCGCCCGTGAACGACTGGATGCCGGTCTGCGAGAGCTCGAGCTGGCGGAAGATCAAGCCGACGACGACCGAGATGATGATGCTCTGGCCGAGGCGCGCCTTGAACGCGAGCGAGTCACGCACGAGACGCGTCACGTTGCGCTTGCAGAGCACGCGCATCGAGCCAAACGTGCCGAGGTGCGAGCTTTCGTACACCGTGTCGCTGGCGTCGCTCGAGCCGTCCGAGTTGTCCTTGACGTCACCGTCGTTGGCGATCGCGTGGCTGCGGGCGCGCCAGTTGGCGACGAGCTTGTCGACGCGGGCGGCCGCCTCGGATTTGGCGTCGAGCACAATCATTTGGCGCATAAAGTAGTCGGTCGGGTTCATGTAGTTGGGACATTGGTAGCCCTGCGACGCAAAGTACTCGACCGCGTCCGACGCCTTGCCGTTGTAGATCGGTTGGCCGTCCGAGAGAAGGTACAGACGATCAAAGAGCACAAACAGCTCTGACGACGGCTGGTGGATCGTCGCAATGACCGTGCGGCCTTCGCGCGCGAGCTTCTGCAGCTGCAGAATGACCGACTCGGCCATGAAGCTATCGAGACCCGACGTTGGCTCGTCCACAAACAGAAGCGACGGGTTGGTCAAGATCTCGGTGGCAAAGCTGAGGCGCTTGCGCTGACCGCCCGAGATACCGCGGATACGACCGCCACCAATTTGGGTGTCGCGGCACTTGTCGAGACCGAGCTCTTCAATGACGTAGTTGACGCGTGCTTCGCGCTGGGCGGCGTCAAAGGTCTTGCCCATGCGGAGCTCGGCCTGGAAGAGGAGGTGCTCCTTGACAGTCAGCGTCTCGTAGAACACATCGTCCTGCATGACGTACGACGCGTACTTGTTCATTTGCTTGGTCCACTTTTGGCCGTTGGCCAGAACCGACCCCGTGTAGTCCTTCTGCCGGCCCGAGATGACGTCGAGGAGCGACGACTTGCCGGCGCCGGACGGGCCCATCATGACGACCAGCTCGCCA